GGTGCCAGCCTGTGTGGCCGGGGAGGAGGAGTTAATTTTGAAAGAATGCCCCGTTTCCTCTGGAAAAGGAGGGAGCGGGGGCGGGAGAGGAGCGCGGTGGGCCGGAAGCGCCGCCCGGGCGGTCTCTGCTGGGAGCTGGGGCGTGTGGCCTCCCGCTAGCGTGACGGGGGATTTCGCGGGTCCTTCCTCCTTTGGAGGAGGAGGAGGAGGAGGGAGGCCCGCTGTGGGAGCGGTGGGGCTGCTGTGTAGCAAAGGCGTATTTGCAAGATCCCTTCCTCACGGGTTGTGCAAGTCGGGCCACGCCTATGGTTGGTTATAGATGCTCACGGTACTAACCTGCGACGCTGCAGAGCGGTGTTAGAAAGGCAGGCTTGTTTTCATTTGTTGATGGATTCAGCAATTATGTTGCTGCAGGGCAAACAAAAAGAACACGCAACAGGAGAAATGCATTACTAAACTAGATCAAGTACAGCATGAAACTGCTCTGCTCTGTTTCTGGTTTAAAGACTTCATACTGGCACCACTACTGAGAGAAACCCATCCCTTCTGTTAGCACAAACACTTGTGTGTGTGGCCAGCAAGTCTGACCAAAAGATTGATTTGGGACCTAAGTTAATTTGGCAGACTTTATTGTTTTGTTTTGCTGTACTCAGTTAAACTGGTTCACCAAGCTGCTTTGCCATGCAGAGGTGTAGACACTCGTGCAGTTCTGAGGAAGGGGTGTCAGGAGGAACGTCGGTCTGCTTCTCTGTGTAATATAGTCATCTTACAGTACTGTAGAAGTGCTAAACAAAAGTTATATAGTGCCCTGCAGGCCTGGATTGTGCCTTTCTTTTGTGGTGTTGAGAGAGTTACCTAAACCGCAGTTCTTGTAGACAGCTATTACATATGTTACATATGTGGGGTTTTGGTTTGGTTTTTTGGTGGGGTTGTTTTTTGGTGGTTTTTTTTTCCCCCGGGAGGGCAGATTGAAACCAAACTACTCTCTTGGCAAATTTGTGGGACATTCTTAATCCCCATCAAGTAGGGAATGTGGAAATACACAATAGAAGAGACCACTTAGGTCATGGAGTGTAGTGCTTTGTGAGGACTAGAATACCATCAGCGTGCATTTTGGAAAAGTCTGCCAAACCTCTACGTCAAAAGCATAAAACAGTGTCTAACATTATAAACAAACTCCACAACTGTAGTCTTGCAGGCAAGAGCAACAGTGATCAAGGCTTTTCCAGTGTTGAAAGTCCTTAGGATGGCAGGATATCTGTTAAATGTCCAGCAGATCCTGGGAAGCATATTATGCCTGACAGCATGAAGAATGATAAAAAGGAAAAACAGTAGTCCCTGCTGATCTTTTCGGAGAATAATCTCAGCCAATTCTATGAGGTTTTGCCTAGCACCCCAAATCTGATGGCAACCTTTAGCTGAGTTAGTGGGATATACCTGCAAACTCTGCTTCCATCGGATCTCTAGTTGCCACCAGTCTTCTCCATTGCACCCGATTCTCCTGAACTGCAGACTTAATGGTCAAACTGTGTATCCAAGGATAAGGGGAAATTCACATAAGGACTATGGTTTGTGTGAGGGTAAAGCATCTTGACTGGAGAATGAAAGTTTCTTAATCAGACATGATGCTGCTGAAGTTTCCTGAAGTAATTTATGTGTCTTTTTTTTTTTTTATATAGTATTCTCTTTCTTCTAAAATGTAGCATTTATTTTAACTGAAGGGGGGGGGTTCTTGGTACTTTTTCAGTGATAGCAAATCAGCTAATGACCTATTGCCATACTTATGTAGCGCATACCTTTTGGTCAAAGATACCTGCATTTTATTGAAAATAAACAAACAACCCCACCTCAAATTACTTTTTGATATCTTCTAGAAGTTACAGTACTGGCCCTTTTAAACAATTTTTTGAACTTATAAAGATCTCAAATGTGAATCGCTGTTCATTAGAGACTACATGCATAAGATACTAAATGTGAATGATGTACAATATATTTCAAAATAATCCAGGAAAACTAACCCCAAATAAATACTAATTATTTCTATCATGCTTTTACAGCAGCAGTATCAAAGTGCCCTGTTTTGGGCAGACAAAGTAGCTTCACTGTCTCATGGTAAGTAGCTGCTTTTTACATTGGTTTTGATTAACTTCTTTCTGATAGTATTCTGTTTCTTTTTTCTTGTTTTCTTAAAGCTATTTGGCTAAATGTTGAAGCTTTGAGTTTGGTGTAAGTGCTTTTCTGTGATCTCTGGAATGCCATTTTTCCAAGTAGGGCAGGGCCAATCTTTCCCTTTTGAACTTTGTGTTAAAATTAATGATTGGCCAAGCCTTAAGGTTTGCCTACCTTGAGACACCAAAAAAAAAAAAAGTGATCTATGAGAGACAACAGTGGTTTCCTACAGGATTCACTGTTGTTCTGGGTGACAAGTAGAATGCAGGTTTACAGAGTGAGTTATGCTGGTAGCCTATATCTGCCTACAGCCATGGTCCATTTACACTTCTTAAAATGATTCTAGGGGCTTGATTCCACAAAAACCTTGGTTGCCAATAAAGTAGGAGAGTACTAAGCTGTGCTTCTGCAGTCATAACTTTAAGCTGCAGAAGTCTAATGCTTTCACTTTCACTGTTCTTAGGTTACCACTGATCTTTTTTGAGAGACACAATTCTGGGTTGTTTTTCTCTGCCCTTTGTCCAAGGGCAGGGTAACCTACAACTGCTATTTTTTTTAGATCTGTATCACTGTTGTCTCCTTCTCATGACACACCTCTAGTGTGAGATTTTTTGTATTCACTGTCCAGTGCGTTATCTGATGTCCTTAAAATTAAAATCTGATTTTTTAAAAATTTTAATATCTCACTGATAGATGTGTTTTTATATATATATATTAAAAAAACTCTTTGTAACTCAATAGGATGCTAGAATAGGGGAAAAATACTTTTCTAGTGAAGCAAAAGTGAATATTCTGTATGGAAGTGTTTACAGATATATTCTAAATCAATGGTTTATAATTTGCTCTTTTATTTTAGAGGAACCACAAGATATCTACTGGTTGGCCCAATGTCTTTACCTAACAGCTCAGTATCATAGGGCAGCACATGCCCTTCGATCACGTAAGTTGGATAAGGTAAGTCACTTCAGTCAAAGACTTACTGCTGTTATTCCACTTTTAAACCTCTGTTGCTAACCACACTGACTTCTTCACCATCAGAGGAGAAGGTTCACGGGAAAAGTAATTAAAAAACTTGCATGATGCAGTTTATCTGAACCAAGTACAGCCCTGTGTTCAATGGACCAGATTGAAACTGTTGTCCCCTGATAGGGTCACAGAAAAGAGAATGGGTCTGAGGATGTAACTGCAGCAGGTTTGGGAAGGTGGGGTGTCCGTCAGGTGTAGTTGTTTAAATTGTCCTTCCACTCTGCCAATGAGTGGTGAAGGCAAGAGTGAAGCAAGTGTCCTTTGAGAGTTTAATAGTAGAGAAAGTGTTACAGACTTAGTCATTTTGGTCAGGAAAGACTTGGAGGTGAAAGGGATGAAGAAGCCATACAAGCGAAAAAGGAGAGAGCAAAACGGAGTCTAGCAGTGTAAGTAAACATGCTCTCTCTTTATGACTAATATGTACGAAACTTCTCTTTCAGTTATATGAAGCATGTCGCTACCTTGCAGCTAGATGTCATGTGAGTACACGTTTTAACCTCTATTGGAAATGAACAAAACTAAATAAAAGATGCATCTTGGGAAGATTAGGTACCTGACAGGCAATGTAACTGTCTATGTTCATTGGAATAACAGGTTTAAATTTTGTGACAGTTGATTGCATTCTTTAACCTTCAGTATGGTCACTGGAGTATCTATTGTGGTACTATTCTGAAGAAATCCAACCAACCTTTTTTTCCAAGAAAGAAAATACTCCTCTAATATTTTGTGGGGAAAGAACGTGAACTATTTTTGTCTCATGTCTTCATGTTTATGTTTTTAATTGGTTGGAGGAGATGTGATTTATGGTTGTATAAATATAGTTAGCAGTTTTATGCTTCTGTATAAAATGTGGTACATAAATAGTAAATGCAGTGCTATGACAGGAAAACTGGATCAATTGGTAGATTAAATATAGAAATTTGAAACAGAATAATATGCTGCTTATAGAATAAGAATAACTTATAGAATAAGTATTTTACTAAAACATGTATTAACTATTTTTAGAAGCATATCTGCTTCTGTGATTGCATAATGCTGAATAATAGATTTTTCTGTAGGTGTTAATCTTATGATTTTTTGCATATTGTAAATAACTAGTAAAATAGTTGGCTGCAATTGTAACATAATGACATATGTCCAAATAAGAATATGCATGCATGACAAATCCTGCTGGTAAGCACTGGTTGTTTCAATCTGTGCCTTTGAAATGTGGTGCTGTGTTTATTGGTGCTTTATGTACAGATGTTTCAAATCTCAACCTTGTTTTTTACATGCACATATTTGGCTAGTATGCTGCAAAAGAACATCAACAGGCCCTGGATATTCTTGATATGGAAGAGCCAATCAACAAAAGACTTTTTGAAAAGTACTTGAAGGATGAAAGTGGATTGAAAGACTCTACCACAGACTGGGAGATGTCACAGTCCTCTGTAAGGGACCTTTTTTGAACAAATATTTTTATAACTGAGAAAAAAATATGTGAAGCCAGAAAGTGATTTTACAGCTGTATGAATCTGACACTCTGCATTTAAGCTTTCATTTTTGGATAACATAGTTTTCAAAAATGCTGAATTGTTCTCTGTTCAGTCAGAAGTCACATGTTACTTGCCTGTAGGAAAATAACTTGCTTTGCAAAAATGAAGAGTGCTCTTTGAAAACTTCCCATAAATTATTTGCAGACACTTTGCAGGAAGTTCATGATCTAGCATTAGTTTTTAGAGTCTTTTAGCTCTATGCTGCAATTTCAGTCTTGATAATGTAAACTAACACTTCTCTCAATTGGGCTGCAGGTTCTGAGATAACAAAGCAAGTTTTCTTCTCCAGATATTTTGAATGAAATATTTCCTTAATCACGCAAGTGTTGCTCTTAGTGGGACATTTTTTTCATCACACTTGAAAAATTATGTGATGTGAAGGTGAAGTTTTTGAAGCTCAGTGAAAAAATTCTGTACAGGCACACAGTTAAAAGGGGTCTGTACCACGTGAAGGCTGAAGAGTCTGTGAAGAGCCTTTACTTTCAGAGTTATGGATTGAAGTTTATTAGCTGAAACTACAGTGAAGGTGGTTGGCAGATGGCATTTTCCCTGTAAGACTGAAGTAGCAAAATGGGTGAAATCATCAATGTAAACTGATTTCGAATGCTGGTATTAATGGGCCGAAGGGAGAAGTGGATTAGACTGAGTTACTGCGGTGCACCTTAATGGGAACATTGAAGCTACCACTGCAAGCAGAGGAAGAAGTCCTCAGCTTTAGCTGTTCATTCTTGCTCCCTGTCTCATGGTACTCTGGCCCAAGTGTTTGTGTGGCTGATTGTTGAACTAAATTGGGAAACTATTTTGGCTGAAAAATAACGCAGCCAAAAAACTTGACTTCTGTCAGTCCTTACCTTCACAAATGCTTGTTATAATGTAGCTCACTAATGGAAGTATGGGTTTGGTTTGTCAAAGGAGAGAACTACTGAAGTGGGTACTGCTACAAAAAAATTTAAATGAAACTCCTCTCTAGGAATGTAGTTTTGTCAAACTTGATTTGTTTTCTTTGCACAGACACTAGTTCCTGAGTAAGAATGACTGGTCTCTGAGCTGGTAACAATATTACCACTTTAGCAGCCCCCTGGGGTTTATCAGTTGTCAATATAGCTATACTGTTTCTAGTGTGGGGGCTCCCGAGCGAGTTGGTCTGTCTAGTTAGTCTGATGATACAGATGTGTAATGTGTTAACTTTCTCCAAGTAACTTGCTGACACTTCTTTTGCCTTCTGACTGAATTTAACACCCATCTACAGAGTTTTGAAAGAACATGTTATTTATTAGACATCTTAGCACAACTTTAACTATGGTAATCATGATCTTTCACTACTTTAATTTCTGAAACATGTATGTTTTGGGTTGAAGAGAAGGATATATTTTTCTGCTCAAAGTAGTTGATTTGGCGTTTTTCATCTCTGGTGAGGTCGTTCTTCTCTTGCATAAAATATGTGGTTTAATAGTCAGCAAAGAAGTGGATTGCCTTTAGAAGTGGCAATTTCCCTGTATTGACTATGAAGGGAATTTAGCATAAATAGCTTACAACTCAGCATCAGAGAGCTGAATGCTAGAAGTAGAAAAGAGAAACTCTATCCTCCCTCTACTTATTTCAAGCATGTATTCGTTTGGCAGTAGGTAACCTGACAGGATTCATTTGATTTTTTTTCTTTAAGCTAGTAGTAGAGACAATATTTTATTTAAAGACAGCACTAGAAAACCAGGTTCCATCATACATGAAATGCTTTTTACTTTTCAGGGAGCCCATTTGATTTGTGCTCAAAACCAAATTGCAAACATTGATTCAGTCTTTGACCTCCAGCCCTGCTTTTCCACCAGATCAAGAGCTCTATATGCCTTTTGCGAGGGAAGATCTATGATGCTTTGGATAACAGAACCCTAGCAACATACAGCTACAAAGAGGCCTTGAAGCTTGATGTTTACTGCTTTGAAGCATTTGATCTTTTAACATCGCACCATATGCTGACGGCACAAGAAGGTTTGGATAGCAGTATTTCTCAAATACAAGTAAAATTTAGCTGCTTTCTCAATATGCCTTTTTCCTGGATAAAAGTTAAAGCAATGCTACGAGTAACAGACTTTAAAATATTACGAATAAATAAAAAATGTATGAAATGAGTAAAAATTATAATCTGCTCAAATTTACATTTGAACTTTTTCAGTCTTGCAGTGCTAAGAATTAAAAGAAACAAAGTAACCCAGCTTCCCTGTTTGTTAGCTCCGGAAGCTCCCACACTCTTTGCCCAGCCTAAACAGTGTTTTTCCTGTGTTCTCAACTTCACAGGCTTTGAATCCATGAAACCCTACTGGTGTTTGCTTACTTACAGTAGGCATTGGATAATATAGCATTCTCAGTGATAAAATTTGACACATAGAGTAAATAAAAATAGTGGTGTGTTATGTTATCTTTATTAAATTTTATTTAAAAGTGTAGAAGGAAAAACTAAGAATTAAATCATTAATTTCCGTAATTAGTAGTATTGTCTGTTTTAGTGTAATCTGTTATCTTCCTTGTAGTTTCGGTGTGAGCATCATAAAATGTTAGATCTTGCTATTTCTTCCGTAATATGACCACTTCAATTTTTTTTCTTTAATTTGCATAGAAAAAGAACTTCTTGAATCTCTACCTCTTAGTAGACAATGTACAGAAGAAGAACAAGAATTGCTTCACTTTTTATTTGAGAATAAATTGAAAAAGGTAAACCCCAAAACTGACTAAAAAGCTGGAGAACTGATTGAAAGTCGTGACTTTGGGTGTAAATTTTCTTGGATTCCATTTATTCTGGACATTAAAATAAATAAGGGCTTTGTAGTTTTGGTTATTTTAATATTTATGACACAGTAGATATCACTTTACGGGAGTAGTATAATAGTTTTGTGTAAACTTATTTTCTCATGCAGTGACAACTTGAAATTCTGATTATTTTTTTTTTTAGCTCTATTTCTTGAGAAACTTCTAGGTGGGGAAAAAGAACATCAGTAATGTAGGCAAATGGCAGTTACCTGAAAATACTAGGATATAACAACATTATTCCAGACTATTTTTTCCAAAGGCAATGTGAGTGCTCTGAAAGCCAACTATATATTGCTCAGTGTTCATTTCCACAGCCTACACTTAAGATATTGACACTGGCAAGCATCGTTCATGTTCTAGATGAGCTTTTAGTACATTATAAAGAAACTTTTTAGCAAATACATGCTTTATGGACTTTCAGTTTAAAACTAAGAATTTTAAGCAGCTTAATACTTCTTAAATGTTCTTTTAGAACTAAAAATGTTAATACTGATACCATCTGACTTTAGACTGGTTGTTGTTTCTTTTATCTTTCAGTATAATAAACCCAGTGAAACACTGATTCCTGAATCAGTAGATGGTCTTCAGGAAAACCTGGATGTGGTAGTTTCTTTAGCTGAAAGACATTATTATAACTGTGATTTCAAAATGTGTTACAAGCTTACTTCACTGTAAGTATACAAACCAACTTTGAGGTTTTTTTTTCTCATGTGGCGTAGTATAATAATTATGCCTGGAGTTACAGCAAATATCATTGTTCAGTGGATTGACGTACATAACAATTTAAATAACGGGTATTTAAAATGCGTAGTTTTTGTCTGGCAAGACACATTATTTTTATGATGTGTAGCAGAAGTATCCAAAGCAAAACTCCAGTTAATCAGCACTGTGCTGCACTTCCCTTCTTCCATCTTCTTCCTTATTCTGGTACTTTCAGTTTTGTGTGTTTTCTACCTGCTTCTTGTTTGGCCTTTAGAATGAACAGGTTTGGATCAGTTGGTTAGTTAGGAAGTATGATTTCTCTGGCTGATTAAAAGTTATGTTAATTTTGATGTGCAAAGTATTGTGTCTCAGTTGTTACGTAGCCCAGGAATACACTGCTGCTCGGTTGTCTCATGGGTTAGAACAACAACATGGATTGCTTCTCAACTACTGTAAATCTGAGCACACGGTTGTGGAGCTATTTTTTCTGCTGGCCTGACAGCTACACTTTTGAGAAAACTATTTTTGTGTACGTACTGCATAGTCTCAGAATATTAGTAGTATAAAACAGAAGGGGTTTTGTTTCCTTTTGTTTTGTTTTTTATAGTGCAACTTCTTAGCTGAAGGAAGCCATCACTGTGTAGAATATCCCATGGAGCCCAGTACAAGCAAGATTTTTGGAAGGCTGTAGAGAATGCTGACAGTTAGGGTGAATTTAAACATCTGAGTAAAGTCATGATCCTGTTGAAATAAATTACTCCAATTAAGTCAATAAAATTACAGTATCACATCTTTGTTTCTGAAACTTCATTGCCACACCTTGTCTAGCAGAAAGTGTAAATGTCTTCTAAGGAGGAGACTATCACAGATGCTAGAGCTTGGAATTGAGAGTCTGAGCAGTTCATATAACTTCAAAGTTTTAGATTCCCTTCAAGAGAGCATTTAATATACTTGTTTATATGCTCTTTTATACTTCTCATTTGAAATACTTTGAACTATTTAAAAACTTCAACTGTTAACTGTTTCAAGGTGTACTTCTCAGAGAATGGAGTCATAATGTTGTACTTGTGATTTAAGAGATTCTGTGAATTGATTTTAAGACATCTTTTTTTTTTCTCTGCTTAGTTTATCAAATGCCAATGCTTACAAAAGGGCATGTGCCTACAAGCCATGTCTTGCATGCAGTCTGTTGTCTGTGAGACCATCTTCTGTTTCTAAATGCCACAGGAAATAAAAATTTAAAACTGAGCTAAATGTTTCCTAAGGCATACTGCTTAGTGTTAAGCTCAAAGTTGAGGACTGTTGCTTGAAAGTTGCTGTCAAATATATGGAAAAAATGAACAGAAATGTTGTTGATTTGCTGTTTGCTGGTTAAATTTGAAGTGACCTGCAAACAAATGTGTATTTTTATTCTGTTTTTCTAATTATATATCCAGCTTGCCAGAATTTTCTGTTATCCTTTTCTGTTAAGCTAAACTAATAGTTACTTTTCTGGTCTTAAGATAACCTTTATTATGCTGTTAACAGTTACCTTCTAGTCACAAATAGTTTTCTAGTGCCTAAACTGGTAGTTAACTGGAACATTACACACTATAAAAGCAGCTTGCTTATAACACACTCAAGTTCTTGAAATGTGCACTGCAGATTTTTTCTTTTTTTTTTTTTTTTTTAGAGTGATGGAAAAAGATCCTTTCCATGCAAATTGTCTACCTGTGCATATAGGGACACTTGTGGAGCTTAATAAAGCAAACGGTAAGAAACACAACATTTAATATGAGTCAAATGAATATTATAAAGCTTCGATTTTAAAAAAGAATTAAGGATGCCAAGAAACCCCATTATATACCATTTAAAAAATTACACGTATTTTTCCTCCTACCTGCAGTTTCAAGAAAACGGTGGTGACTGGAAAAGAAGGGAGTTCCAGAGCTGACAACAGCAGGGTGGGGAGTAGTTGTGCAGACAGTCTGTGTGATATTCATGATCATGAATGAACTGTCTTTTAACCGCTGGGCTATGTAGCCAGAAAGTTAGTGAGCTACACTGCTTCATTTCTGTTGTTTGATTTCTGTTTTGAGGTGATCTTCCTGGAGTATCTAGGCATGCTTTTTCTGCTCAACAACAAAATAAAATGTATTCATTTAAACTAGAAGGAACTCTTCAGCAGTGTGTATGCTTCGGTGGACATGCTTTTTTCTATATCAGAAAAAAGTTCTAGACTCTCCTTGCCTTTGCTGTTGTGAAGGCCTCTCTTTAGTTCAGACAAGTTAATAATCACGCAGCACCTTTGTTGGAATGACAAGAATAGCTTACTTGCAGCTGGGATGGCTTTTTCTCATTTCAGACTGCATATAAACATCCAAACCAAGTGAGGAGCTTGAATGTCTTTAAAACTGATTGGAAAATAGAATAAGGAGCTCATATGATTTGCAGTCTCTCAAAGGATGGTGCATTGTATGTACACAAATAGGTCATTAGTTGTACTAGTACTTCTCAATGTTTAGTAAATGTACTTTTCAGTTACTTGACAGTTAACTACATCTGAAAATGTAGCCAGTACTCTGATTTTTCTTCTAAGTCTGCCTTAAGAAGTATTTTGTAAATAAGTTGGTATTTTGTAAGCCAGTTTACATATTTGATTTTTCTGAAGCCAAGAATTGATGCAAAGTACTCCAGGACAAACTCATCAATTTAAGAGCACTGTACTCTGAAGAAATAGAAATTTTATGTCCTGTAATGTTATTTGTCTTGAAATTGCATAGGCAATAGAATTGTAATCCTGTATCTGATTACTTCTGCTGTTATTACAAAATCTGTAGTAAGTTATTCTAATAACTAGAATTATTATTTTTATTAGAAAGGTAATCACTTAGAATCATTCCAAATAATATAATAATTTATTTGCTTTTGTCCTATTTTCAACATATAAATGCACAGGACTCTACTTTGAAATTGATCTAGCCAGTATGTTATACATTTTAGATGTAGGAAGTTCAATAGTGTTTTACCTTGACAAGATACATTCAAGTGTAATACTACAGTCATTTATTTCAATGTATGCTAATGACCTAAGTTGTTGCAGAATTCTTAAGGGGTGGGATGTATAGCTGCTTATTTATGTGCTGTGAAGACTTATGGGTTGGTTTTTTTTTTTTTAATTAATTGCAAAACTGAATCTATTTTGAGGCAGTTTGAAGTGTTACCACTAAAAAGAAAACATTTTTGTTCATTTGTGCATTAATAACGTTGGATGTTCTGGGTATCTTGTATAGAAAGCTAAAGGGCTTGAAACATCTTAATGTTTTAGCACATTTTAATTTTCTTCTCTTGTTTCTTCCCACTATGTAGAGCTTTTCTATCTTTCTCACAAACTGGTGGACTTATACCCAAATAATCCTGTAAGTTGTTCTAAGCCTTCCTTACCAGGTGTTTTTTTTCTAGGTGAAAACACATAAAAGTTGTAATGTAATAGTCAGTTTGAGCAATAGGGTCCAAAATCTGTTTCTGGATAGAGCTAGTAAAAATGGTTTGCTGCTTTTATTTTCTATGCATTGTAATTTTCTTTACCGGGGTTCTTTTTTTTAAAACAAAGTGCCTGTAAAATATATTCAATGTGAGATATTCACTTTGAACAATAATTTAAAACAAATGCTTCAGTAATAAATGTATATGCCTCTCTGGGAAACCTTTTCCAATGTTTGATCACCTTCATAGTGAAAATTGCTTTCCTTTTACTCTTATGTGAATATCCCATGTTGCAACGTGTCCATGTTGCCTCCCATGCTGTTGCTGCACCTCTGAGAACAGTCTGGCTCTGTCTTCTGTATTCCCTACCATTAGATAATTAAAGACAGCAGTAAGCCTTCCACTTAGCTCTCTCTTCATAAGGCTGAACAAACCTAGTTAGAGACGTACATGCCAGCAGTTCTAGCTTGTTTGTAATATCAGGCTGGACAGGCTGGACCGATGGGCCGAGGCCAACTGTATGA